TCCTCCTCCTCCTCCTCCTCCTTTGGTACCAATCCAGATATGAAAGAACAAATTAATGGAGCCCAAACTTCACATCTTTAGATTTCTGGTTTTATTCTCCCTTTTCAAAGCTTCAAAATATTTGAGGAGATGACTTGTGAAATCTCTGATCTCTTTCAACCCCTTTCAGCTCTTGGAGGTGGAATCTGCTGCTCCTCCTGCAACCCACCCTCTCTCCCCCCGCCCTCTCTCTGGCAGCTCCATTCTCTCCCCCCACCCTCGGAGCTCCCAGGTTGCTTTGATGCTGACCCTGACTCCCACACCTCCTCCTTCTAATTCGGCTACTGGAGGGGCCCGCAGACGACAGGTCGCAACAGTTTCATACAGGTAGTCCTCCACTTACAACAGTTCATTTTGTGACCATTACAAAGTTGCAACGGAACTGGAAAAAAATTAACTTACGACCATTGCGGCATCCCCATGGTCACGTGATCAAAATTCAGACGCTTGGCCAGTTGACTTGTAGTTATGACGGTCGCAGTGTCCCGAGGTCCTGTGATCCCCTTTTGTGGACCTTCTGACAAGCAAAGTCAATGGGGGAAGCCAGATTCACTTAATGACAGTGGCAAGAGAGGTTGTGAAAGGTGGCCGAATTCACATATCTCAAGTCTCGCTTAGCAACAAAAAGTTTGGGCTCCATGGTGGTTGTAAGTCAAGGAACTATTTGTATTTTAGCCCCTGAGATGCTTCTATCCTACAGATCATGCATGGAAACTTTTTACAAGGCACATATCAGAGTAAGCATGAATCTTGCTGCATGCAAAGGGGCTTAGAACTGCCACTTTCACTGGTTTAATTTGACTTTTCTTTGATTTTAAAGGGCTTCAGCACTGCTGTCAGGGCAATTCCGAGTCAAGAGAACAAAGCAAATCTTCAGATACAGATATACAGATCTGTGGGGATCCTTAATGGTCTCTGATCTTGGCTGGGGGTTTTTTTTTGCAGACATTTTATTACCCAACTAGATAACATCATCAATCCAGACGGGAGTGGGGTTTCAGCCAGATTCACTGATCAACCGTGTCACTAAGGTAACAATTGCAGTGATTCACTTAAGAACTGTGGGAAGAAAGGTTGCAAAAAGGGGCAAAATTCACATAACAAACATCTCACAGCAACCGAAATTGTGGGCTTAATTATGATCATTAAGTCAAGGCCTAATTATTTTTAAATATATATGCTAATGATTTGGTTTCTAATGCTTTATTGTATTGATTAAATTGCATACCCCCCAGAGACCCTTTGTGAGGGAGTGGGAAGTTAAAAAAATTGATATATACCAGATAGAGTAGATATTTGAGTATTTGAGTATTTATTAAAATTTATAGGCCGCCCTTTTCCCTGAGGGGACTCAGGGCGGCTTACAATCACAAGGGAGGGGGG